CAGCCCAGAGACGGCTGCCGCCAGTGAGCAGTGGCCTCTTGCGGAATCAGCCTCAGGCTCCCAGCCCCTTTGGGGCACCTTCCTGGGCTCAGACCCGAGCCTATCGGCAGATGCCATAGTGCTCCATTCTCTCTTTCCCCCTCCCTACCGTGCGTGCCCAGAAAGACAATTTAGCCATCACATGGAGGCATCTCCAAGGAACGGGACCTTTCCTTTTGGGGCCCTACAAAAGACTGAGGGGTACTCAGACTGCGAGTTCCCTGCCCGCCAGCCATCCCAGGTGCTACTTGCCTGGGGACTCCAGGAGAGTGAGGCAAATCCCGAGGTGGAGTGAAATCGATCCAGCTTGGGTGCCCTGTAGGTAATTCGGGACCAGCGCCTCTTCCCCTGGCAGGGTCAGGGATTGATCTCCAGGGTCCAGGAGTCAGGCCTGCAGACCAGACCCCGTGCACCTGGGTCGCGATTGTGCTGCCCTGGGGCACGGAGGAGGGATCTGTGAAGGAGTCTACTGAGGAGTGTGTGCCTTCAGGGGCAGATCGGCGTGCCTGACCGGCGGCCCTCCTCCTAGAGGAGGGCTGTGCACCCAGCTCAGGCTACGATCCTGGGTGCAGAACCTCCCAGCCCGCGTCACAGCCAGGGGGGATCCATCGGCCTGAGGCCCCACTTGCTGACAGAGGCCTGGGAGAGGCCACGGAGAGGGGGAGATTGGAGGGGAGCGAGACCTGCTCCAGAGGGCGGGTCTTGGACAGCCCCACCCCCCAAGCCCAGACTTTCAGCTGAGTGGAGCCATTTCAGCCCCTCCTGGCAGCTCTGCACAGAAACAAAGAGCAGAACTTTGACCCCTTCTAACAGCAGCTGTGGAGCCTGAGGGCAGGCTTATCCAACCCAGCCCCACCCAGACTCACTCCCGGTTCTGCCCCCACTGAGGGGGAGAACAAGGACAGCTCAGGCTACGATCCTGAGTAGGGAACCTCCCGCCCACAGCCCAAGTCACAGCCAGGGGAGATCCATAGGCCTGAGGTACTGCTTGCTGGGAGAGGCCTGGGAGAGGCCACGGAGAGGGGGAGAGTGGAGGGGAGCG